AAGGTTCTGGAATGGAGGCCACGTACCGGAAAACGCAGCGTGGGACGTCCACCCACAAGGTGGACCGATGACCTGATAAAGGTAGCGGGAAGGCGCTGTATGCAGGCCGCTACCAACCGTGCGATGTGGAAGTCATTGGGGGAGGCCTATGTTCAGTAGTGGACGTCCTGTGGCTGAAATGATGAAAAAAATGATGATGATGAACCAAGACAAATGGTACACAAAATAAATTAGCACCATAGATCACGTCTTGCCTGTCACTTGTCACTCCCTTAGGTAAGGGTAAACAACTCACAAGTTTAACCCTTTATGTAGATAGAAAACATTGGTTTTGAACTTTATTTCTTCTGGATATCGTTCAAAATAAGGTAACAACGAAAGGGTAGGATTTTAACCGGTAATTCCAGTCACGGTTTCTCTAAAAACACTACAGGGAAAAGTTAGCTAGTGCAAAACTACTGAAACTTTTTGTTTCGTTTCTAGAAATCGAAATACATAGTTTTGCTGTAAAATTATACTCTATGTGGCTTTAAAATCATCAAAATATAGATCAGGAAGATTCTTTTTGCCATACACAATCAAAGAATTTCATGTTTTGATAGAAAAGGCATTTAACATTATTGGGTCAGTCAAGAGGGAAACTTGTCGTTTATTTCCTGAATAGTTTTTACAGTTTTACTTCATCTTTATGACCTAGGTGGAGCTGATAATCCTCCATTTGGCCAACATTCATTTGATATCCAATTGGTGTGTCTTTGTGGATGTAGACATTAGTTCCGGGTGAGCGCACGCACTTTGTTGGCGCTGCTATCAACGCGGCCACTCGTGGGCTCAGGATTATTTGGAGCGTATCATTTGTAAGATAATGAACCATTCACTAAACTGAAAGACTGTGCTATGGCCTCTTTTTCTCCTGCTATAATAATAAGAGATAATAGTTACCTAAAAAGTAAATCTAAGAAACCCTATACAATCTATACATTGTGCTAAGCCCCTGTAGCACAAAATATGTACCAACAAGTATATTCCAATTGCTTCTCCTTCCATTGAATTTTGATATTGCTGAATTAGCAGTTTTACAAAAAAATACGTAATTATTCACGATGTACTCTGGTATTTGGGAAAGGATTTTGGAATAGTAAAACCCTAACTGTAATTATAATTATTATTATCAATCCCGTACCATAGTACGTTCTTTTAATTTTAATTAAGATGTTACATCGTATTTCCGTAAACTCTCGTCACAACCTTTATCTGGTTATCCTTATCTAAATAGAAGACAATACTTTTCCAACGATAACCAAGATTTTTCTGGCATAATGGAGTAACTATAAAATATTTTAATCTTCCGGATGTTTTATTAAATTTTTACCTGCATACCAGTTAATTTATCTAGCAGTATTATGTATTCAACCAAAGATAGCGGATGTAATAAAGTATTGCAAACACTACCATGGTAGATAAAAATAATAATTATATACAGCAAATTGCAACTCATGCACGACACGACTTGATTGTGTGGATTCTATAGGTTTTTCACACGTTTTTGTTTTGGCTATTGGCTAGCTAGGTCACCATTACCAGGTCACCATTTAAACCTTATTTAGGTACTATTTGGGTACATATTTTATCATAAGTATTAGGTGCTATAACATTACTATTTATGTATGTTTATCTAGACAATTTTATGCAGCAATTTTATTTTTTATTTTACCAATGGTCCGTGACCCTCACTCGGCATGGGGCACACTGAAAACCAGCGCCGTGGCCTTCGTCACCGTGGGCCACGGCATATGCTGAGTGGGGTCCCGTTGCAGTGGGCATCTTGTTGGTGAATGGGTGGCACTGCTCAGTTTACTCTTGTTTTTATTTTTTCTTCTTTATTATTATGTGCCACTGTCATGTCTATGTAATTGCCTGTATTTGTGTGATGTCCATTGTAATAAATGTATCTTTCTTTCTTTCTTTCTTTCTTTCTTATTTGGTTCATCTGATATCACTCTCATCTCTTACTCATTCCTTAGAGAATGCAATGTTATTGTATTTTTTTACTTCACATTGCATATAAATGTAAACTAGGCTTTATAAATAAAAGATAAGTAGTAATGTGGTAGTACCTCCTACTTACCTAGATGGCAGAGTCAAGCGGCGGTGGCATAAACGTCAAGATGTCGGGGATCACTTCTTGTTTTAAATAAACGTTGCCATCTTTTTTTACTACTCATTTAGTACCTTTATGTACCGGTGGAGCTCCTGGGTGTCGAATATCATGACCGGGAAAAGCGAGCCGGGCACGTGGCGGACCATCGGACCTCTACGCGGTAATCTCCGGACCAATGAGCCCTCGTTTTTATACAACAGTTGGCACCCCTGGCGATTGACAGGACCTTACTCTACAGTGGCGCCATCTTGATGAGTGCAAATGCGATAGTCCTCCCACCACTTTAGCGCTCACCAGTTGGTGCCACTGTCTTCGCTACTAGCAAGGGACAGGACCTTACTCTACCTACAGTGGCGCTAACTGGTGAGCGCTAAAACGATTTGGTTACCCTCCTCCTCCTCAAAGGTTTGGTTACATTATCACATCTTACATCTTGGTAGTCAACAATCTGCACTGGACCCGTATAGTTAAACTGTGGTTAAACCACAGAAAATGTAATATTAGGTTTTAAACTGTTGAGTTATGGTATTTTGTCTAGGATTTCCTGGTCTAAAAATAAGTATGTACCTATGTACATACTCGTATTTTATAATACAAAGATAAGAGGAGGCTTCCTTCTGCAACAGAGATAATGTCTTAATAAATAATACTAGCATTACTCGTAAGTAGGTATTTGTATTTTACAATACATTCTAAATATGTATGTAATACAGTTATTATTGCAATTAAATAAATTACCATGTGTACGGAAATAATGACCATGACTGCAATCTACAGGGTGTTAGGTAAATGGGTATATGAGCCGACACTAGCCCATGTTAACATGGTCATATTAATCGTATGATGAAGTCAGAAAATTGATAGCTTCATTTTAATTATTTTAATTTTCATACAAATCGGATTTTATAAAATTTATTTTGTATGAAAATTAAAAAAATAAAAATGATGATATCAAATTTCTGACTTCACTATACCATTTGCCGTGCCGTGTGGGGACGGCCGTAAAAGAATACTTTTCCCCACCGCCGACAGGAGGCGTGTCGTAAGAGGCGACAAAACCCCTGTAGCACCAGACGGGCAGCAGCGTCTGCGTGCGAAACCAAACAAAAAACTGCGATCGCCAACCCGCCTGCCAAGCGTGGCGATTAGGGCAAAACCCTCCAGAATGGTTTTACAAACAATAAAACGGCCCCTAGTCCCCGGCGGCCCCACTATCCCGTACCACGGTAGCGGTCACGGTAACGGTGGGGCAAGGGGTGCGAAGAATCCCCGGGGGATGCCAAGCTACCAACACCGACGACCTCTGGCCCTGGCAACCTTCAACGCTCGCACACTGCGTACAGACGTGAAGCTAGTGGAACTTGAGGAAGAATTGAGCAGGTTACGGTGGGATATCGTAGGATTATGTGAAGTCCGAAGAGAGGGAGAGGACACCATAATCCTCAAATCCGGAAACCTGCTCTATTTCCGGGAGGGCGACCAGCAGTCCCAGGGTGGTGTCGGGTTTATCGTACACCAGAATTAAGCTACCTCCATAAACCACGATATTTTCAAAATTAAGACTAAATGTTACGTTCTCTTTGTGTCTCCATATTCGCTATCTTCCATCGATCTGGTTTAAGAGAACTCTGCACTCATAAGTGAAGAGATCATGCCTCCAGTCGTTCAAGACCCAATCACGATATTCACGTGAAAAGTTCAATATGTTTTTTCGGTGCTGTGTCACAAGTTGGAGCTTTCTCGGGTATGCACGACCCTATACCAACTTCAGTAAATCTCCTGTGAACTGTGGGCTCAGTCACTCTTACTCCTCGAGTGTCTTTAAGGTTATTTCTGGCTTGAACAGCAGGTAACCGCGACTTTCTGAAAACTCGAAGTTGTAAAAAACGGTCATCCCGTCGCGAAGTACGCCTTTTTCTGACTTGAACCCTCCTCCTAACGACAGAAATGATCAATCTGTACCGTTGGTTACTGCCATGGGTGGTCGATACTGATCAACGACGTCTTACGGCAGCCGATTTGTATGCATGGCCGTTACTTCTCATTTCATCTGCCTTAATGATTTCTGACGGTGCTAAGCTGGGCATAATAAACCCTTATAAGTAACTGAATGCTTACACAACAAAATTCTCAGAAAAAAACATCTTTCACGTAAAAGAAATCCAAATTAGCAAAAGCTTCATTCAATTCAAAACACTCAACGAAACTGTTGATGGGGTAATTTAAACAAAATAATTAAAAAAATATACTGTTGGCAATTATTTTTTTCATATTTAGAATTAAATTAAAAAATAATGTCATAATTAGGCATTTTTTTCCTAAAATAATGATGATATTGATGCTTTTTTTTCCGTTCCTCTAAATCTGCCGGTGTGTGTATCTATCTATCTTAACGAATATAAATGGTAACCTTATAATGCAGAAAAATGGGAATCTACCTTGAGATAGATAAGACACGTAGGTAAATATAGCGGTAAATTCATGTCTCTGAATTGCAATTTGTGCGTGCAAAGTGATGCTCGCTATTTCTTTAAATGATTTCTCAGTGATCCTCCTATTTTGCTATTAATCAGTTCTATAGGCCGTCACTTCACCCCCCTTAATATTATTTGGTGGTAGCACTTGTAAAAGAACTTAGCTATAGTCTGGTCGCCGAGCACGTAGAATTTCGCATTTTCGCTCGCACACTCACTGCGGGCGCGCGTCGCACAGTTGCGACAGCAATATAATTATGCGCGAGCGATAAGGATGGGTAGCTTGGGGTCATTGGAAGAAATTCTACGTGCTCGGCGGCCGGACTATAGTAAAAAGTCGCCTGTAAAGCACTCAAACTGCATACTCACTTCTCAACAGCGGCCATGTCCAAAGCATGGAAGTTTCTGCACAAACAAACGTTTTTGCCCACACACAACACGTCGGACACTATCCGGACGTATTCCGCGGCGCTCGGACGCGGGTCGGTGGGTTTCCGGACGGGGAACAACACCGTCCCGTTCTCCAGGTCAAAAGCGTCCGTTTTGTATGGGGATGCGGGGCTGAAATGGGAACGGTTGTTGATTATTGACCAATATTTTCAAGACGCAATTGTTTAAGACCACAATCATGAAAATTCAATGAGGGTTTTCGCGTATGAAAAATCCGCCAGATGGCAATACGTAGACGCGAGGTAAAAATGCTGCATGATTGGTTATTTTTGACATGACATTGACGGATATGTCAAAATCCACCAATCACGCAGCAGTCAGACCCCACATCCACGTCCCGCCATCTAGCGGATCTTTACGCGAAAACCCTCATTCTAATTGAATATTATGACTTTTTGTTTTATGCCGAACAAAGCAAGCAACTTGATTAAAATCAGCTGTAAAAATTACGTCAAAACTTGTTTATGGAAGAACCTTTTTTGACTGCTCATAAAAAGTAAATGAATTAATTGCAGGAGTTAACTATACTGAGTATAAGTACATCGTACGGCAAGCGCAGCAAATTACTTCCTTCCACAAGGTGTACAGATGACCTTATAAAGGTTGCAAGAAGGTGCTGGATGCATGTCGCTACCAACCAGCCAATCTGGCAATCATTGGGGGAGGCCTATGGCTGAAATGATGATTATATTCCCACCTCTCGTTCCCACTGCTGCAACTCCTGTGTAGCCAGGATCTACAGCTTGACCGCCAATAAAAACCCAACCAGTGAAGGTCAAGTTTGTCCCGGGAGAAAGCTAAACTGTCATTGGACCCGCAATGAAATTAATCAGAAGAACATAGGAGGAGTTCGAAATTAAGGTTACTGCTTCCCGATGATGATGATAATATCACACTCACTCTCTGAAGAAGTCTTTAGGCGGTTCCGTGTCTCTGAATCCCAACAACACTGTATCAGGCTTCATGGCTCCAAGACCGGATAGTCTGGTCAAGTGTGCAGCGCCGCTGCGGACTGATTCGGCGAGGCACAGCTCTACGAAGGCTTTCACCTGTAAATTATAAATAAATAACAGATGTAAGACGTTTACAGAAGCGAGATAAATGAAGCGATTCTATTGGTTCTTTACAAACACATCCCTCGATATGCATCCTCGCACATCTCTGGTGGAAACAATGTAGCTTGGCCAGCGTGGAGAATGTTAACCAAATCTTCAATTTGACGAACGAAACACGAAGATTCGCGCTATCGCGATGAATGTAGCCGTTCTACTTCAGTGCTTTTTGCAGACGCAAGATTAAGAATTTAATCGCAATGTGTGTGGCCCAGGGGTAATGATATTGATACATACTTGGACCTCTTTGAAATAGTGAAATTGTGATGTTCTTCGAGTTCAGTAGTAGACTGCCATTGACTGAGTTGATGATGATGAGTAAACAAATTGACCCATAAAAATGTTATGTACTCACTTTCAGATGGTCGATAAGTTTCAACCAGTACTTCTGTTCGGCCGCCAGCGGGTCACCATTGCCATCCAGTTGGCCAATCCTCACGTGACCCAGCACGAATAGACCACCCTGAATAAGACAAAAATATTGGTTTACAATACATCGTGTAAAACAATCAAACGTCTGAGCTCTAAAGGTACTCAAATACAAAAGCGTTTTCTATGGGAAAATCATCGAAAAAATAATAATAAAAAGGTGAAACTATTCTCACCATGATTTATCTACCTATACAGGAGTTTCAATAGCGGGAAGGAGACCTGGGAGTCATCATCATTTTGTGTCTTGCAATTTTAAGTTTTACGTGGTGCGCCATAAAGATTTTAAATATCTAGCTCCGAAGAGATCCAGTGACATGCACCTGCTGAAACCGGTGATTTTAATGGTCCAGTTGAATCTCATGGTTTGCGACTAGAACCATGCTAGGCCTCGTCTCGCTATACTATTGTAAAGCCTTGAATAAGAGGCTGACAATGGTACTATCCGTTTGCGATAAGTTTGCCGCTGGCGATGTGACGTCACACGAAGGGAAGCATCTATAACTATAGCAAACCATATTGAAAATATTTTTTATTTATTAATATTGATAAAAATTGTGTATTTGCGTAAAATAAGACACATTAATTGCGTTTAATCGCGGTTGGGGGAGGGCACGCGCATTCCAGACCGGCAAACTTAGCGCGAACGGGTAGTAAGGTGACTGTTTCTTGAGCTGCTTTTTTTCAGCGGCCCGCCATTATTTCCCCGAGCTGTGATAGGGTTGGGACGTGTAAAAGTACTCTTTGGGAGCCTACTTGTAGAAATGAACGATTTCATTGTCACGCCAAGTTTCGTGTTTCCAATATGTAACAAAATTATGGGCTATATTTCCTTGTATTAAGGTTCAAAACTGCGGTATTTCGGACGTGAGTATATGGCGAAGCTTCCCGAACACTGCCTATCCGAGTTGGATTCGACGATTGACCTCTTTCTCGAAGTTGGACCTACCTACCTACATAGCTCGCAGAATTGCTAAAATCAAGTGGCAGTGGGCGGGGCACATAGCTCGTAGAGACGATGGCCGTTGGGGCAGGAAAGTTCTCGAGTGGCGACCACGGGCTGGAAGACGTAGCGTGGGCAGGCCTCCTACTAGGTGGACCGACGATCTGGTAAAGGTCGCGGGAATAGCCTGGATGCGGGCAGCGCAGGACCGTTCATTGTGGAAAACCTTGGGGGAGGCCTTTGTCCAGCAGTGGACGTCATTTGGCTGAAACGAAGGTTCAAAAGCATGTACACTCCATCCCACCTTCTTCTGGTCGTTGACGAAGTCGATGAGCGGCGCGGCCTGGCGCGGCGAGCCGACCAGCAGAAGCATCTGCGGCCGCCAGAACTTCACGTGCTCGCGCCGCGGGTCCAGCAGTAAGAGGTATTTGCGGACCTGTGGACGAATGTAAAGAACATTGTTAATAATCGAGCGAGATTCTAGCAGACACCGACGCGATACGCGAGTCACTCTTAATGTGCTGCCACAAAGATTGTAAGCGGTCAAACCGCGGAAAAGCGGAGCGGCGCGTTTTAACGAAAAATGCATAATGACAAATGTTGATCAGCATTCAATATGGTATCGATAACAATGTTTGTTCCGGTGAAATTATGACTTTATATCGAATGTCCACCTATTTTTAAGAGACACACACACAGACAGCAAATGCAGCGCCACCATCAGCGAGCAGCATGCAAGCACCGCGCCCGCCGCTTGACTCACTACCAGCAGTGGATTCTGGGTAGTGGGATTCCAGAGTCAGCACGCGTAGTGTCAGACTCTTCCCAGTTCAGTGGATACTAGTTCTCAGAAAAAATGCTGTGGTGTAGATGGAAAATGAGGGAGGTCGTGTTTTATGGCGTCTAGCTAAGAATTTTGAACTGTATTCGGCTTGCAACTTGGGGTCAGCGGTTCCAGCAGTGGATCCCTGTGTTCTCACTTGGTGGAAGATGAGAGCCTGGCTCAAGCTGCCCCACTTAGGATCCGCGGCTGCAGGAGACAGCAGATGCAGCGCCACCACCAGCGAGCAGCACGCCAGCGCCGCGCCCGCCGCGTGTAGCGGTCGCAGCGCGAACATCAGCGCGAACATCAGCGCTGTGTACCTACCATGAGTTTACGATAAGTGTGCTCGTTAGCGAGTACGTCAAAATCCTCTATGAAGATTTTGTTTCTTGAAAGTAGCCGCTAGGGGTTCTGAACAATATGTCATACAAGTAATGTCATTTTTTTACGCAGTCGCTAGCGAGCACACCTAACGTAAACTCATGGTAAGCGCACAGCACAACTTCATAGCTCTAGCAGAGACGTCATCCAGAAGTAGCGGAGTGAGAGTCTCAAGTTATATCTCACTGACCTGGTATCCGCAGTGGCAGGAGACATCAGATGCAGCCTAATTGTGGATTAGGAAGTTCCAGTCAGCACACTCCCAGTTCTGTGAACGCCCTCGGGAAAATTGTTGAGAGCGTAGATGGAAAATGAGAGATCGTGCTCTTTGGCGTCCAGCAGTGAATTGGAACTGTTCTCGGCTTGCATCAGGCTACCACACTTGGGGTCAGCGGTTCCAACAGTGGATCCCTGTGTTCTCACCTGGTGGAAGATAAGAGCCTGACTCAGGCCGCCCCACTTAAGGTCAGCGGCAGCAGGAGACAGCAGATGCAGCATGAATGAGTAGTAGTATGTTTCTAGTCTTTAGGAAATAGCTAAGTAGCTAGTTTTGGACCTACTTCCAGCAGTGGATTTTTTCCAGATTGTGTTCTTACCTGGTGGAAGATGAGAGCTTGACTCAGACTGCCCCACTTGGGGTCAGCTGCTGCGGGCGACAGCAGATGTAACGCCACCACCAGCGAGCAGTATTAACCAGCGCCGCGCCCGCCAGCTAACTTAATAGTTCCAGCAGTGGATCCTAGTGTCCTCACCTGGTGGAAGATGAGAGCCTGACTCAGACTGCCCCACTTGGGGTCAGCTGCAGCAGGAGACAGCAGATGTAACGCCACCACCAGCGAGCAGCACGCCAGTGCAGCACCAGCAGCGTGTAGCGGTCGCAGCGCGAACATTAGGGCTGCACAGCCTCCCAGGCCCAGCAGTGACGTCATCCAGAAGTAGCGGAGTGGGAGTCTCAAGTTATATCTCACTGACCTGGTATCCACAGTGGCAGGAGACATCAAATAGGCTGCCCTATGTAGGATACATGGAGGCTGACAACCACAGTTGCAGGGTGATTATGGAGTAGTGGGGTCTTAGAGTCAGCTCAGCACACGACAACAGTCCCATTCCAGTTCGGTGGACGCCTTCAAAGAAACTACTGAGGGGGTAGATGGAAAACCACGAAAGCGCGTGCTGTTTGGCGTCCAGCAGTGAATTGGAACTGTTTTCGGCTTGCAACAGGCTGCCACACTCAGGTGTCAGCCTGTGTCTGCGGGTCAACGGTTCCAGCAGTGGATCCTAGTGTTCTCACCTGGTGGAAGATGAGCGCCTGACTCAAGCTGCCCCACTTAGGGTCAGCTGCAGCAGGAGACAGCAGATGCAGCGCCACCACCAGCGAGCAGCACGCCAGTGCAGCACCAGCAGCGTGTAGCGGTCGCAGCGCGAACATTAGAGCTGTGTACCTACCATGAGTTTACGATAAGTGTGCTCGTTAGCGAGTACGTCAAAATCCTCTATGAAGATTTTGTTTCTTGAAAGTAGCCGCTAGGGGCGCTGAACAATATGTCATACAAGTAATGTCATTTTTTTACGCAGTCGCTAGCGAGCACACCTAACGTAAACTCATGGTAAGCACACAGCACAACTTCATAGGTCTAGCAGAGACGTCATCCAGAAGTAGCGGAGTGGGAGTCTCAAGTTATATCTCACTGACCTGGTATCCGCAGTGGCAGGAGACATCAGATGCAGCCTAATTGTGGATTAGGAAGTTCCAGTCAGCACACTCCCAGTTTGGTGAACGCTCTCGGGAAAATTGAGGAGTGGGTAGGAGGAAAATGAGGAGAAAGGAGGTTCTTTGGCATCTAGCAGTGAATTGGAACTGTTTTCAGCTTGCAACAGGCTGCCACACTTGGGGTCAGCGGTTCCAGCAGTGGATTGTGTTCTCACCTGGTGGAAGATGAGTAGCAGGAGACAGCTGATGGTAATCAGCGAGCAGTATTAACCAGCGCCGCGCCTGCCAGCTAACTTAATAGTTCCAGCAGTGGATCCTAGTGTCCTCACCTGGTGGAAGATAAGAGCCTGACTCAGGCCGCCCCACTTAAGGTCAGCGGCAGCAGGAGACAGCAGATGCAGCATGAATGAGTAGTAGTATGTTTCTAGTCTTTAGGAAATAGCTAAGTAGCTAGTTTTGGACCTACTTCCAGCAGTGGATTTTTTCCAGATTGTGTTCTTACCTGGTGGAAGATGAGAGCTTGACTCAGACTGCCCCACTTGGGGTCAGCTGCTGCGGGCGACAGCAGATGTAACGCCACCACCAGCGAGCAGTATTAACCAGCGCCGCGCCCGCCAGCTAACTTAATAGTTCCAGCAGTGGATCCTAGTGTCCTCACCTGGTGGAAGATGAGAGCCTGACTCAGACTGCCCCACTTGGGGTCAGCTGCAGCAGGAGACAGCAGATGCAGCGCCACCACCAGCGAGCAGCACGCTAGTGCAGCACCAGCAGCGTGTAGCGGTCGCAGCGCGAACATTAACGCCGCACAGCCTCCCAGGCCTAGCAGTGACGTCATCCAGGAGAAGTGCACGAAGGACGGCCTGAAGACAACATAATAACTATCAGGTCATGTCTTCTTTGTAGGAACACGACCTAATATTTCAGAGGCAAACCCTACTTTCGTCTGGAAGAATCTACACGAACAACGTACATTTTTGTAGCTTTTTAGCACCGCCTACTCAATATCTCTGTTTTGCTCAAGGTCAGCTGGTAGAGAATGACTTATGGCATTAAGCTCGCCTTTTTGTACTGAACATTGTTGTGTGTGCAATAAAGTCTTTAAAATAAAAAATAAACAACGATATAACACACAACAAGGCTGAAACAGCTGTACATATTGGACCAAGGTGCTGGACCATTGTACAGTAGCTTCATATAATGGTCGTAGAGCGAACATCAGTGCTACACAGCCCGCCAGGCCTAGTAGAAATATCATCCAAGAGAAGTGCACGAAGGAAGGCCTGGAGACAACAACGGCATCATCATCAAGTCATGAGGATACGACTATCAAAAAAAATATGTAGATTAAAACCTTAATCCTCATCTCATTGGCATCATCATTTCAGCCGTCCACTGCTGCCATAGGCCTACCCCAATGCTTTCCATGTTGATCGATTGGTAGCGGCCTGCGTCCAGCGCTTCCCTGCTACCTTTATGATGTCGTCGGTCCACCTTGTGGGACGTCTCACGCTGGTTAGTAGCGTAAAAGTAAAACAGTGGTTCACAATACCACCTAGATACTATATAATTATCACTTCATCATCAAGTCATTTTTAGTGTTCACTGCAGGAACACAGCCATCTCCAATTTTCCAGAGACAAATGGAGATGGAGGGTTGAAGAAGTGTGATGGTTGTATACTGAAGACTTGACTAACTGCATGAAGATGACCCCGATGTCTTCAATTTTAAGAATAAGAATACTAACCTGAAATTAGGTGCAGATGCCAAATCCAATCCTAAACAAGCCAGGTTGATGGCGAAGTAACTTGTCATGAACAGCACAGAGTTTACCTAGAATAAAAAAAAAATGTCTATAAAATGAAATGTAATAAATTCTTTATTTTTTTGCGATTCATCATCATCATCATTTCAGTCAAAGGACGTCCAATGCTGAACATAGGCCTCCCCCAATGATTTCCATGTTGATCGATTGGTAGCGGCCTGCGTCCAGCGCCTTTCTGCTACCTTTATGATGTCGTCGGTCCACCTTGTGGGTGGACGTCCCACGCTGCGTTTTCCGGTACGCGGCCTCCATTCCAGAACCTTGCTGCCCCATCGGCCGTCAGTTCTGCGTACTATGTGCCCTGCCCATTGCCACTTTAGCTTGCTAATCCATCGGGCTATGCCAATAAATTGCTATACTTACCCTCTTTTATTCTTACAATTATCAATCTTATGTGTTACGCAATAAAAACTATTATCTTCATACCTGTGCAATGGCATTGAGCGATCCAGCCATAATACCAATTTGTACCAGCAGCCAGGATATGATGACAGCCAGTACTGGGTTACCAGAGTGATTCGCTACAGGGCGTAGGAGAAAACCTGAAAGTATGACACATTTGAAAAATAACAGCACTTGTTTTGAAGTTATCTTCACAGTGTTATATGGCACATGGGGGGAGTATGTTAGGCGTACGGTTTGTTACTTATTATTATAAAGAGCTGTGGTTTTCTGAATAAAGAAAATAAAAAAATAAATAAAATAAAATTGCCTATGCCTACAAATAAAACCTAAAAATATTTACTATTTTATGTCAATGAAATATATCCACTTTGTACTGGAGGGAAGTCAACCTTAACTTCGAACTCCTATGTTCTTCTGATTAATTTCGTTGCAGGTCCAATGACAGTTTAACTTTCCCCCGGGAGGAGGAGGAGTTCGAAATTAAGGTTCGATTTCCCTCCATTGCAAAGCGGATGACAGGTGACAAAAAAATGTTTAAAACCTTTAAGATTATGCACCACGGATCCTGGCTACACAGGAGTTGCAGCGGTGGGAAAGAGAGGTGGGAATAGTCGCGTCAATAAAATAAAGAAATTCTTACCAAAAATATTGTCTTTTGCGAGAGCCTCCAAAACTCTTGAAGCACCGATCAGATTCGACAGTCCGGCGGAAAATGTTGCCGTAAGCATGCCTGTAACAAAATATACATGATTAGTTTAATTATTAACTCTTTCATTGTGCAACGACAGAATATTGGTCTCGCAGCGAGAGCTGAAGCGATCAAAACAAGCAAAGATTTGTTTGTGCTTATGTATCAGATTATCAGTATTTATACGCTTGCCGCGCTAACGTTATAATTTGTAGATTCAATATTTGAACTGGTGTGTGTTCCATTATGCAAATATTAAGTCAATGTTAGTACACTATGTGCTTAGTGCGAATTTGCATTGAACATCGTCGTTAGCGAGTGCGTCAAAAAAAGTCAAAGGAGATTTTAGTTCTTGAAAGTATCCGCGAAGGACGCTGTATAATCCGTCATACATTTCATGTAATTTTTTACGCAGTCGCTACGACGTTTAGTGTGAACTCGCACCGAGACAAAAATGACATTACATGTATGACGGATTGTACAGCGCCCCTAGCGGAAACTTTCAAGAACTGAAATCTTCATATATTTTTTTTACGCGCTCACTAGTGAGGACATTTAATGTAAACTCACACTAAGCCCTCCGTTCGCCTCAACACTCGCTGTGCGATCTATACGTGTAATAACAATAATCATTATTAAATCAACTGGTTATCAAAATCTACCACCCACAAGGTGGACCGACGACCTCTTAAAGGTACCTATAGCAGGAAGGCGCTGGATGCAGGCCGCATCCAACCGGCCATTGTGGAAATCATTGGAGAGGCCTATGTTCAGCAGTGGACGTCCTATGGCTGAAATGATGATGATGATTAAATGAGGGCTATCGTTTTAGCGCTCACCAGTTAGCGCCACTGTAGAGTAAGGTCCTGTCACTTGCTAGTAGCGAAGACAGTGGCACCAACTGGTGAGCGCTAAAGTGGTAGGAGGACTATCGCATTTGCACTCATCAAGATGGCGCCACTGTAGAGTAAGGTCCTGTCAATCGCCAGGGGTGCCAACTGTTAAGTATAAAAACGATAGCCCTCATTGTCCTTACCCACAGCAATAAAAGGCGGCCACACGTTAATGGGCAGCAGGTATACATAGTTGTTCTGTAGCAGTTCCCTCGTGCAAGTGGCAGCGGTGAGCAGACTGAGAGCGGCGTAGGACACGCCCGTAAATAGAAGCGCTGTTAGCGTGCCCATTGGGATGCTTTTGGACGGGTTCTTTAGTTCACCTGGAGAATAAATAAATAAATAATAAATATCCTTGGACATTTTACACTGCGCCGCTAGCCCCAAACTAAGCAAAGCTTGTGGTATGGGTACTAGACAACGGATATAAACATACTTAATTTTTTTTTGTAATACATACATATTATACATAGAAATCACCCAGACCCGTCACAGAAATTAAAATTCAACATTTCAATTTCTGCCGGGAATCGAACCCGGGACCTCTCGGCATAGTAGTCCGTTTCTGAACCACTACACCAAACGGCCGAACGGAATAGAACGGTAGTTTTAAGTATGAAACCCATACAATACCATTTTTTTTTTGCTTGTACATCATACTGCTTACCTGTTTCACAAATAAATTATTTGTATTTTGCAACAATAAGGGAACAAAAATTATATGGCTGTACCAAATGTATGAATGTTACAAACATTGAATTTTCGGATAGTTCCAGTTTATTCTGTAATCCTGCACATTTATGTACAATTTAATGCTGTTGAAACATTGTTAAACAAATAAAATAAAATAAAAATAAAATAACCTAATATTGGTACCGTTTGAAAGAGCTCGTGAAGCAGTTTCAGGATCAGTAAACAGTTTTTCGATATCTTGTATAGTTTAGAAATAATCGAGTGAGATCACTTATCGTTTTCACCCTGTATACACAATAATATACAAATCTGTCCTGTTAGTGTGATTGATCATGACTTATTATCTGGTAGGTAGGGCCAAAAGATAAGGAGACGTCATGTTAAGGGCTACCTTTTTTACGTACCATAAGTGCACAAATACTGGTCAAAATTTAATAAAATATTTTAGATTTTTAAGGAAGATTGGTTTTAGTTTCTTACCGCTCATATTAGCGCCAGCCATGACCCCAGTAACTCCAATGAACAGCACTCCAAACACCGAAGCGAAGTCCACCATAGACCCATCGCTGGTGGTGTAGTCCTGCCCATAAGACGGGTAGAGGTTCCCCATGAACGTCTCCTTGCTAAGGCCGGTGTAGTTGAAGCTGGTCATGTTGGTTAATAAGTTAGTGTCTGGTTTCGCGATCTGGGGACAAAGAAATTAATAAAAATATTGTGTGCGTACCGGAAAATGCAGCGTGGGACCCACCCACAAGGTGGACCGACGACATCATAAAAGTAGCAGGGAAGCGCTGGACGCAGGCCGCTACCAATCGATCAACATGGAAAACATTGGGGGTGGCCTATGTTCAGCAGTGGACGACGTCCTATGGCTGAAACGATGATGATGATGATTGTTTAAGATGCTGGTAGTGTGCTAGATAGCAAGGGGAGTACGTGTATATTTGAGACTAGTATCCACTGTCAGACGGTAGACTCAAGACACATCTCAAGCTTAAGAGGCGCTTTGGCAAAGCGGGGCGGTGTTAGATAGAGATAAGGACAATTTTGAGAATGGTTTCAACTGTCTGTAGCTAGACTCAAGACTGATAGATAGCGAAAAAGAACAATGCCCATGCATTTGAGAACAGTTTCAGCTGCCAGTAGCTAAACTCAAGACTCATATCTAGGTTGAGAGAGTGACACCTATGGTAACACTTAACAGGATTTTTGTTTTCATAGGGGTCACTTAAAAATTAGGGATTGATGGTGAAAACTGGCATAAGTCTTTAAAAACGTATCTACATCACGATCTAATAAAGCGAGTGATTGAATTATTGAAAGAACGAACGAGTGAAGAATGCACGAGTGAAGAATGAACTAGTGAATGAACGAGACACTTCTGTATATTTAGTGCGTTTCAAGTGGATCAGTGTGACTCACGCTCTGCGGAGGCGTAACCACGAAGCTCACGAAGGCACTGGCCAGGCAGACCAGCATGGTGGCCTAGATGGCCAGGCCGGTGCAGCTGTTGTAGCTAAATCCAAGACTGATCTCAAGCTTGAGAGGCTACGTTTTTGGAAACTAGTCAAGATCACAATCTAAACCGAAACGTACCTACGTAGAATTTTGAATGAATGTTACAAAGAAGAAGTCGAATGAACAAGTGAGTGAATGAATGAACGAATATTGAGATCATTCAGTCACTCTTTCAACTGTCAACGAAGAGCGAATGAATGAATGACTGATAGAAGAACACTTTTATCGTATTATTGACGAGTACAAGCCACTCACGCTCTGCGGAGGCGTGACCACGAAGCTGACGAAGGCACTGGCCAGGCAGACCAGCATGGTGGCCCAGATGGCCAGGCTGGTGCGAGCGAACAGCGCCGCGCCCGCCAGCGACACGCCCAGTCCGGCGCCGTTCAGTAACGACCGGTATATAGCGACGAGTGGTGGACAGTTGGGAACAGCTTGTGTGTTAGCGACGAGGAATACGCGGACATTAGAGATTAGTTTCAGTTGTAACTAAACTCAAGACTGGTCTTAAACGAGGAACTTAGGTGTATAGCGACAAGGAGTGCGAGAACAGTTGAGGATAGTTTCAGATGCTGGAAGCTAGACCCAAGACTGATCTCGAAAATAAGAGACATAGTTTCTGTTGCTTGTTGCTAAATCCAAGACTGATAGATAGCAACGAAGACAGTTGAGAATGGTCTCAGCTGTCTGTAGCTAGACTCAAGACTGATAGATGGCGACGAGGAATGGGTGGATATTTAAGACAATATTCAGCTGCAAGTAGCTAAGCTCAAGTCTGATCTCAAGCTTGAAAGGCTGCGTCTTTCGAAACCTGTTGGGATCACGATCTAATCCGAAATCTGCGTAGATTTTTAAACGAATATTAGAATAAAGAAGTCGAATGAACGATATATAAATAACTAAATAACCTAAAATTGAATGATGATCGAACGAAGAGTGAATGAATGAACGAAAGGTAAATAAATGAACAAACGAAGAGTGAATGAATGAGTGATAAAACAACACTTCTTTGATTTTTTTGTATGACTGTGGAGGACACTCACGCTTTGCGGAGGAGTCACCACGAAGCTGACGAAGGCACTGGCCAGGCAGACCAGCATGGTGGCCCAGATGGCCAGGCTGGTGCGAGCGAACAGCGCCGCGCCCGCCAGCGACACGCCCAGCCCGGCGCCGTTCAGTAACGACCGGTATAGGAACCGGTACCACCAGCCATCGGGTATACCAGGGTTTGGGTGGACTAGGTATCCTGAAATATTACATTAAAAGTCATGAGTATAGCCATGATAACCGAACGGTGAAGGGGTCGGACTGGCCGACTCGAGATCCGAGGAAGGCAAGTTTGAACCCCACCGCCGCTCGACTATTGTGGTGAGCCCACTCGTAACACAAGCTTATTTAGCTTAACACCTTAACACGAGGGGCTAACGGGACTAATAGTAATATGTGCAATACAAATTGCTAATGTTTTTTTTTTTTCATAAAAAAAGAGTTATTTAGCAAATAGGCTTTTAAAAAGGCTGTTAGATATGCCAGTATTACTTTAACCCTACCACTGCTTCGGGGCAATAAAAGGCCAATGCTGAGAAGAAGCGCCAAGAAATCAGTCGAGTCGAAAAGATTTTTCGCTCAAAACAGTGATAGCAGTTCTGAACCCATAGGGAGGGGAATTTAATATGACTCTGCTGTCTACTTGTAATTTCGATGCTTTTCAAATTTAGGTACTTACAGACGACGGCATGGCATTGTCAAGGTAAACACTATGAGGTCTTATGCAGATGTAATAGATGCGTCTGTACTTTCAGACTTTTTAACCACTTTTACACGTCTCAATCTTGACACAGTTCAGCACAGAAAATTAACAAAAGAAACTCAACCACTATTGTGAGGTCTTTTCAGATGGTTCAATATAAAGCTGAAGTAACCAGGCAAATCAAAACACTCTAATATCACTCACCATTAGGTCCAAAATTCTCTACCAGAGCTTCAGTGCACGCCGATATACAGAGGGCGCTGGAGACAACGTTTGCGAAGAAGAACAGAGTTCCGATGGCGCCACCGAACTCTGGACCTAAAGTCCTGCTTATCATGACTGGAAATTGGTTTAGGAAATTAGATGTGGGGAAAATTTTAGCCTTTATGATAAAAAAGAGATGTTTTATTTATTGTATGAAGTAGACTTATACAGCAATGTTTACTGTTATAAATAAAAATATAATACTAATACAATAAGCATTACTTTAAATTTTGCATTTCACATAAATACCAAGATCCCATACTCATTAATTTCAATTGAACGCTACCTCTTTTGGTAGCGTTTTTGAGAAAATGGCATAGACAAATAGGGAGGGACGACAAAGTGATTCTAAAATATGTTTTATAATGCATAATATGAGTTCTTTTTCTTGGGAGAGGTAGAGACCCATAAAAAAGTATTTGATGTTACAATTTTAGTCACTTTCATCGTGAATTTATGGAATTCGTTCACAGAATACCACATGCGACGACTAAATTACTACAGGGTGATAATCCGTTTGCGACGACAGTGTGACGACATTGTAGATGTCATCTACAATTAGATTATAGATGTTACACTGTCGTCGCAAGAGGATGTATCTTTTTTTTGCCTTTATTACACTTTTTGTTGAAAATTCTACATTTTGATATCAATTGACTTAATATATTCGTTATTATAAAAGGATACAATAAACCCCCCCTCCCTCCACCGCTCCATTGGTCGACACGGCACAAATAGACGTCACTGTGAACAGCACGATTAGGTAGGCCAGGCCGAACTGCGCAAGCGTCACTAGGAGACCCGCGTTGCCGACTAGGTAGCCTGGAAAGAGGAAAGAAATAAGTCAGGCTTTTAGTGGAAACTAGCGGCCGCCCGCGACTTCGTACGCGTGAATCCCGTTTTACCCCCCTTAGGGGTGGAGTTTCGTAAAATTCTTTCTTAGCGGATGCCTACGTTAGGGCCGGATTGTGAATTTGTGGAGCCCTGGGCTGAAACTTCTTATGACGTTGTCACGTAAAAATATCGTCCGTAAACCGTCTTTACAGACAACTATTTTCTTTTATTTTTTTTTCAAATTATGGCCTACTTTTTAGCGGGATCTGGGGGACCCTTGTAACCCCGGAGCCCTGGGCTGCAGCCCAATCAACCCATAGGTAGATCCGGCCCTAGCCTACGTCATAACATCTACCTGCATGCAAAATTTCAGCCCGATCCATCCAGTGGTTTGGGCTGTGCGTTGATAGATCACTATGTCAGTCAGTCAATCAGTTAGTCACCTTTATGACGAGACTATTCCCACCTCTCGTTCCCACCGCTGCAACTCCTGTGTAAGCAGGATCTAGCTTAACCGCCAATAAAAACAAAAACAGTGAAGGTCAAGTTTGTCCCCTGGAAAAGTTAGACGGTTATTGGATGGAGACGCAACGAAATTAATGAGAAGAACATAAGAGGAGGTCGAAGTCGAGTTTTATTGGAAATAGCTAAAACCCATGAAGGATGTCTCGCTACTCACTAACTTTTTGCAGGAATTCTGTATTACTGGATCAAGCAAAACTAGATTGCCGTGGGAAAGGGCCCTTAGTCCAGATCAATATTCAGAAACAAATTATAATTGAAATTCGATTTATTGTATAACAAGAGACTTGAATAGATAAATTATTTACCACCAGTATTTACCATGTGACAAGCAAATAAATAAATAATCCACTGTTAAATGTCATGGATTAAATTATTCAAGCAAATACAATTTGATTATACTCGTATTTTATCAAATTACTAGTATTCCAGCTTATTTATATGAACTAACAAGGAATTAACCATTTACAGTCAACTAATTAACAACATAACTGTTTATACTATCAACATAGCAATAAAATTATGTCAACTATCCAGCGCATACGCCCTAGATCGCGCGTGTTGTGAGTTACGTCGATGCGATAACGTTTGAAAACATTGCAAGCGATTATAATAATTTACAATTAATGCTTCAATCACACCAACGCGTGCATATCGCAAACGCCGGCGCGATCATAGGGAAATGACAGGTCGCGTGAACTGTCATTAGTCGCGCGACCTGTCGCGTCGACCTGAAGTGGTGAAGTCCAATTCCAAGTGTGAAATCACGTTTTTGTTGCGTGGCAGCATGTGGTCTTCAATAAATCTTCAACCATTTTCTTTTATTATTATTTTTTTTCTCTGTTTTTTTTTTCCCGTTTCACGCCTTTGAGTTTTGTGGCATTCGCAAGGGAAGTGAAATAGCTTAAGGATATTTATGGTATAATTTATTAAATATTTTTATAAATGTTTTTAAGTTTGAAATAATTTATTTTATGTTTGTCTGGTCGATCTGTGAATTGTGATTGTGTGATTTTTTTTGTTTTTGTCCTTGCATTGGTGCACACTGGGTTGGCCATAACCATGGCCATGACATTTATCCTGTGGGTCTGGACAAGGTGCACATTATATTTGCAAGTCAGTCCAAAAGCGATCGCTAAGCCTTTTTTTCTATGGATTTTTTGACAAATTCGATTTTTGATTCATTTATAAAGGTGCATTTTGTCTAGGGGGGCTGGCGTCATGAGTCGACTCCAGTGTTGTATTCCTAATTTTTATTTTTTATTTTTTTGTGTGTATTTTCTCAACATGGCAAAATTTGATAGCGGCGCCCTCTTGTCAATGTCTTGTTTAATGTTTTGTTTTTTGTATTTAAAATGTTGGTTGGAGAGGCACCCGCTGAAAACCAGCGTCGGGGCACGCGTGCATGCACGCGTGGCTCGATTAATGCTGAGCGGGCGCCTTTTTGGCACAAAATAATGCGTGTACAGTTTTAAGTCCCTTTGTTCTGTTTTTCTGTTTTCTTTTGTGTCAAATAAAGTTTTTCTTATTCTTATTCTTATTCTGTCATTGGCCTTTGGTCGCGCCAGGGATGGCGATCTGCACTAGTTGGTGTGGTTGAAGCTTATGAAACAAGCGACCCCGAATATTATACAAACTTAGTCTACGAGCATAATTTTCTGTATACATGACAGCACACCATGCTGAACGAGTCACTTTATAGGGAAATATACAGGGCGTGGAAACGATAAGTGATCTCACTCGATTATTTGTAAAATCCCAACTAATATTATAAATGCGAAAGTAACTCTGTCTGTCTGTCTGTCTGTCTGTTACGCTTTCCCGCTTAAACCTCGCAACCGATTTTGATGAAATTTGGCATAGAGATAGTTTGAGTCCCGGGAAAGAACATAGGATAGTTTTTATCCCGGTTTTTGAAACAGGGACGCGCGCGATAAAGTTTTTCTGTGACAGACAAAATTCCACGCGGGCGAAGCCGCGGGCGGAAAGCTAGTATACAAGATTTCGAAAAACAATCGTTTCCGTATTATTAATGTATTCATACAAAGCATCATAATTATAAACAAAACCTTGGCAATGAACCGTAAGTAGATTAGAGGCCTTAATTAATTTAAGTAATTCCTTGTTTATTGGATTATAATGATGTGTGTCAATTTCTACCCACAGTCAAAAGTGTTCAGAAAGAAACAATAATATGTACCTACTTAAAACAAACATGAATTTATAAACAACGTAGGTAGTTGTTAATAAGACTATTCTACTATTTTGGTACTTAGTTTTGTAAATTTTTATTGAAAAGAAAGAAAATTCAAGTTAAAACTTTTAATGACAATGAAAACTGAATTTTATGTATATTTTAGATAGATTTTTGCTACTAGATAATAATATTATCCAATAAATCTTATAATTAAAAGCATTAAAAGTCACTGAATTGAAAGAGTTATAAACACTGTTTCTTTTGCAGGTGAAAGTATTCCATCGCTATAATATAGCGATCGCTATATTATTATGTTCACTATAATCATATTAGTATGCGTACACAACGCATTTGCTATACGTACAGCACATCTAGCTAAATACAGATCTTATGTAGTGGCAATAGAGACTATTTCACAAAAAAATATAGATTGGAATGCTGATGACTATACATTCATCAGACTATAAAATTTTCTTGCAAAAATGAACCCTGTTATAACTACATAAGTCTATAGCTACTATTTTACAAAAGAGTATAGTCTGGAATGCTGATGGATGACTGTACATTCGCTGGCACATCGGTCTAAACTTTTCTTGCAGAAATGAACCCTATTATAACTACAATAAGACTATTGCGTGAAGCTTTATATGCCTACTTGAATATACAATCATTATTGTTATTCAATACAGATAGAAGAATATTAAACAAGTACCATTAGTGGTTTGTAAATAATGACTCTTTCTTGATAGATATTGAACGTGCGTTTTATTTTTGTCCGTACACAATCTACATTTTCTTCAAAACAAAGTCCATGTTTGGTTCTCGGGATAAGTATGGTGTGACACTCCAATCAATTAGGTTATACATAATTTTTGAACTGTCAAAACGGTATTCCTTTATGGGAATGCCCACATTTGAAGTCATTCTTAGGTTCTGTTTTTCAAAGTCGACTGACCGAATTAAAATCATAGAAGCGAAATGAGACAGCTCGTGTTGTGATATAATAATTGTTTATTAGTTATAATCGAAACTTTTAAACGGACAGTTCAACACAAAATGACAATAGGGCAGTACTACAATGTTGCAATCAGAGAAAACCCACCAATGTCAAACTATCCTCGATTAGTGTCGCTCTCACTGATAATGATGACAGACGCCGACCTTGGGACGGAGCATGGACGAAAACTTTGATAACGTCCAACGAAAACAGACTCTGGACTATGTGTTTTGGTAATCAACAAATATGTTTTTTGCTTGGAACTGAGTTTGCGATTGAGTTCAATTTCATTCGTAAGAGTCCCCGCAAACTGTAGACTTTTATCGATCGATAGTTTTGTCAGCTCCTAATGTTAAGATGTGTCTTTTCAATGGGACAATAGGTAATGACCTTGTCTATGGACTGCCGATTCGAGGGTCGGTAGTTCAATCCCCGTCAACTTCAGGACATTTTTGATGAACCTTCTCCTAAGCATAGGTACCTTTTAACCAATTAACTAGTAATTCCTTTAAATTCAAGATAATTGGGGCAATTAATAGGTAGTAACATCCTGTACATTTAATAATGAAACATCCTGAACTGTGTGTAGCAATATGTGCGACCGGTCCAATTCCTCTGGACAGACGGTAAATACAAGCAAAAGGGTTTTACACACTTTTGTCTTAGGACTAGGCCACTATGGCATACATACCTTATGATTAACCCTTGACCACACACTGAAGCGAACCGAATATTCAAGCTATCGCGATGTGTATATCTTTATCTGTATCTTTTTTGCATAGTCGCAAGACTTCACTCCGCTGTCACATCAATGTCGCCCGAATGCTATCGCTGTTTGGCCCAGGGATTAGTGGTAGAAAAAGCAAGACTTACCCATCCGAATAAAGATGAGGGCACTGAACATAGACAGCACCACGGGACAGAAGACACCAGCGAACGTGCCCACCTTCTTAATCCCGGGACGCTCTGCCCGGAATTCTCCGAACTCCACATATCCTGCAATGTTTATATTTAATTGTTAGTACTTAAGAGAAGACAGGGTATGATGGCTGTAAGTGGATGAGAAGCATGTTAAGCTGTCATCGGCAGATAAAACACGAAAGTCCAAGTAAAGACCATAATAACCGCGGCTTCATTTCGTTGGACTCTGTCGGGTTTTATTGGGAAAGTCCAGTCCTTCTGGTGGGGAAAGTCCCACATGAAATAAAGCATAGTGGAACTTCATCTTCCAAGTTTTACGGGACAAAAGGATTGAATTGATAAATAGAAGTGCATGCATGGTGACTGAGTTTGTTGCGACGCTTCTTCTCAGCAATCGCCAAATGAATAGCTGGGTAAAAAAATAATGATTCTGTAAAGGCTCCTTACGAGCAATAATTGACGACTTGCTGCTGATTTAATTATAGTCCAGACAAATACAGGCAATAATTTGATTGATTGAGGAGTACCAAAGGCGTTACAGTTTGTTTGTTTCCCTACCATCTTTCCAACACTGATCACCCTCTGCACTTTTCTCCGCCATTATCACAATTCACAACACGTATGAACACGAGGGGCGTCCAATTTGCACTAAGTAATAAGTAAAGTAAACATTTAGGTAGAGTAATAACTGAAGCTTATCTGTTCAATGTTTATTAACCTTGGGTCTTTAAACAATGGCCGCAGGTGTTACGCCAATATGAATTACGGATACGTAAGTATGCCAGCACCTTTGTTTTATGGGGGTTTAAGGCGAAGGTGATTTAAAAAGCGGTCAGCATTTACAGCATGCAATTTAAACTCATTTAAATGAAATGGAATGCTGCCTTATGAATTCAAATGATTGCATTCTAGCCACGAGCATGTTAAGAGTCTTTTTCATTCGGTTGCTGGGAGGCTTACCGCTTTCTCCCATCGCTAAATCTATATCTGTCCTCTCTAGCTGTATGCTATTTAAGAAGTGCTAGGAAGGCGACCATTAAGAATCCCAGTGCGTTCAAAACTAAAAGAGACTAGAACTTTCCCCTGCCGGGCGGTTAATGGGTGACCGACAGCCTACCTGCATTGTCATCTTTCATATCAATTCTCTTTAGCATTGCATACAATACGCGTCAGTGATCAGAGTTCTTCTAATCTAAACTAAAAAATATTCCTATCTTACCCTGTCGGTCGGTTATGGGTGGCCGGCTGCTAAGCCGCATCCTCAACTTCCTCATCAGCCCCGGCGCCCTGGATGAGTAGACCCTTGGAGCCAGCGGCTAGCGTAAGAACGTGAGAGTCCCAGCTATGTGTTCTTCAAAACTAAAAGATTTTTACCTTCCCCTGCCGGTCGGTTGATGGGTGGCCGGCTGCTGAGTCTCATCCTCAATTTTCTCATCAGCCCCGGCGCCCTAAATGACTTAGGACTAGGGCTATAGATAGGCTATGAGTCGATTAGAATCTCTATCAAGTCTGCGAGTCAAGACCTTCCTTTGCCAGCCAGTTGTGGCCGCATTGATTAGTTCCACATCACACTGCGCGTTAGCGACCAGTGTATTAGAAGACCCAGCTGCGTCCGTCAAAACTAAACAGGGCTGGTACCTTCTCCTGCTGGTGGGTGGCCGGCTTCCAACTTACGTTGTTCAGGTTCCACATTAGTCCTCTCTAAGTCTCGTATTAAGAGTCCAAGCTGCATCCTTTAAAATTAAACGACTGTTACCTTCCCCTGCCGGTGATGGGTGGCCGGCATCCGAGCTATTTTCTCAACTTCAGCCCCGGCACCCTGGATGAGTTGACCCTTGGAGCCAGCGGCTAGCGTAAGAACGTGAGAGTCCTAGCTATGTGTTCTTCAAAACTAAAAGACTGTTACCTTCCCCTGCCGGTCGATTGATGGGTGGCCGGCTGCTGAGTCTCATCCTCAATTTTCTCATCAGTCCCGGCGCCCTGGATGAGTTGACGCTTGAAGCAGGTCAAGGGTCGTATAACCTATCTATAGCTACGTTTATCAGTTAAATCAATAGTGCGAGTCAAGACCTTCCTTTGCCAGTCAGCATAATTTCTACATCACACTGCGCGACAGGGAACAGTGCATTAAGAGCTGCTCCAAGCTGCGTCCCCTATACGGGACTATTCCCCCCTCTCGTTCCCACCACTGCAACTCCTGTGTAGCCAGGATCTACAGCTTGACCGCCACAAAAACCCAACCAATGCAGGTCAAGTTTGTCCCGGGGGAAAGTTAAACTGTGATTGGACCCGCAACGAAATTAATCAGAAGAACATAGCGTCCCCTATAGCCAAAAAAGAGAATCCCACCTTCTCCTGCCGGTCTGTTGATGGGTGGCCGGCTGCTGAGTCTCATCCTCAATTTTCTCATCAGTCCCGGTGCCCTGGATGAGTTGACGCTGGGCGCCAGCGGGTCAAGTGTCTCAGCCATGCTTGATGGCTTCGTCGCTGGAAAGAGTTTGGTTAATTTACATATTTACTAGAGAAAATAAGGTCATCAAGGGCGACAGTTTGCGTGTTCATGATTTGGAGTATGAGTATTTACGTATGTATCTAGGTCACGAAAGGGATAAAAAAGTGTAGTTCGTGTCACATAACAATCTAAAGGAACGTCAGGAAGTAGGATTTTTTGCTCTGGTACGACATTGCGCGACTTTTTTTGTTTTGTTTGTTATTATCAGAAGGTTCTTATGTAAGAAAAATTAAGAAATTCGCGCAGAAAATAAAGAAAATGAGTAAACTTAACAGCCATAACAACTTTTTTTAAGAAGTTAAGTTGTCCTAACAACATCTGGCAGGGCAGCTGGTTTAAGATAAAAATATTCATTGGGATTTTATTTTAAAGAGAAAATAGCATCTGAAATCTATTACGACCTCACTACAAAAGAATACCTATTCAAACTTTTATGGCCTTAACAAATTGGTCAATATTACTACCGGCAGAAAGATCAAAATCGCCGGTACCAGCAGTGGCAACGGCATTCCGTCGGTTCCACAATCATGTCAATGACCATGACGAAGTCAAGGCCGCAGTTACTGCGAAACCTTGAAAAGCGATTTACAACACCTCTTTTGATATAGGAAGTCCAAAATAGTCCCTTGCAGCACTTCTGGCCTAGGATGCGTCACACGATATAATCTTATCGACTTTAGACGACAAATGTATGGGCTTATCGTTAATCGATAAAAAGCGTCGATAAGACGATATAATGGCATTCATTCTAAGCTAGCTGGTCATATAATGTGTTTTATACTCCTTAGAAATAGGTCACAAAATTTCTAGAAGCTTACAGCTTTAAAGTATGGAAGAAGAAAGATTTCATTACATTTATTACATGTTGTAGATTGAAGTCTTCCATGTGTTGAGCATGTTAATGAACATGGTAAAGCTGGTTTAGTGATCTTTCTGGTCTGAGGTTAATGTAAAAACTAAAGTCCCTGGTAAATAGGCTTTATTGGAAGCCACAGACATGATGGCAGATGGAGTATGCTCTCGAAACTTAGGAACGAAACACGTCCGTCCTATCAGACCGATGTCAATGTACAAAGGTAATTGTTTAAATTGGCATTGACATAATCGAGCGCTTCCAGACAAAAGCCATATGTTTGATTTACCAAATCCCATGGAATATCATCAACAGGCTCATCTATCAGGACTTANAGGACTTGCCATTGCCCACAGTCATAGAGGAAATAAAGAGCCTCACACTCCGCTACAAGGATAGACTTTCAAATCATCCAAACTCATCAGTACAACAACTCATGACCATTGAAGGCTTCCTATTCAGCAGACTGCAAAGAGCTAGAGTTAGGGGTCTCCTTAGTAGATTCCAGGACAGTTGAGAAACCATGACCACTGAGGGCAACTGAGTCACTGGACTCCACCCTGCTCATGACAAAGAACAAACAGCAAACGGACACAGGAGTGGATTACTGTAAATCCCTACAGATTGCTGCTGGGACCACGGATATAAGAGAAAAAAAAAAGAAATAAATGCTTTTTACTTTTACTTTACAAATTCGATTGAATTGATACTTATCAATATTTTCTTGTTTCTGGCTTAAATCACAACAAAAACCAGTAAGAATTGTAGAATCACTTTCTTTAACTGCTTGCTACATTGTTAATTAGTCAGCGAGGCAGAACAATGTTTTATATGAATTTATTGACACCAATATGTCACCATTTGCCCAACATCATAAAAAAACAAAAAGTTGGCACTATGAAAGAACTGAAATAAATAACTTTTAAGCAAATAAATTGGATAAAATTTTTAAAAATATATATTTTTAATGAAAATCTTTTTTTTATTGTATTTCATTCATGTAGTTGTCGACTTGTTGCGGTGCTAAGTGCAAGGAATAAAATAAAATATAAAATAGGTTACCTAGTAGTAGTAATTATAAAATACTCACTCAAATAAATATCCTCCATATCAACGCACTTGCTTGAACTACTTCTAAGTGGCAGTAAACCTTAGTTTTGAAATGTAATAATTAAAAATAATGATCAATTAACTCAAAAACAGGCGCGCTAGAAAAACTAATCAACGTCAGGCTGACCTACAATGGAGTAGATGACCTCATCAACTCTAGAAACACNCCTAGTATCTTCCCCTGTCGGTCGGTTATGGGTGGCCGGCTGCTAAGCCGCATCCTCAACTTCCTCATCAGCCCCGGCGCCCTGGATGAGTAGACCCTTGGAGCCAGCGGCTAGCGTAAGAACGAGAGAGTCCTAGCTATGTGTTCTTCAAAACTAAAAGACTGTTACCTTCCCCTGCCGGTCGGTTGATGGGTGGCCGGCTGCTGAGTCTCATCCTCAATTTTCTCATCAGTCCCGGCGCCCTGGATGAGTTGACGCTGCGCTGTGCTGACAAGCGCTGGTAAGCGCTTATAAGTTCCCAGCTTTCTTTCTGTACCTATACGGCCTCCTCACGCTGCGCGTTAGCGACCAGCGTATTAAGAGTCAAGAGCTACTGGTACCTTCCCCTGCCGGTCGGTTGATGGGTGGCCGGCTGCTGAGTCTCATCCTCAACTTCCTCATCAGTCCCGGCGCCCTGGATGAGTTGACGCTGGGCGCCAGCGGGTCAAGTGTCTCAGCCATGCTTGATGGCTTCGTCGCTGAAAACAGTTTAGTTCATTAACATAATATTAACAATAAAAAAAAACCAGGGGGCGAGAGTTTGCGTGAACTTCATGATTTGGAGTTAACATTAGTTTAAATGTACATGTGGGTCACGAAAAGAATAAAAATGGGCAGTTCATGTTACGTAACCACATGCAGAAAATGATAGAACCTAGCATACAAGTAAAATGCCTTAACTGTGTCCATAAATTTTGAGACAGACTGCAAGTTCGCAGTCAATTTGTCATGATCAATTACTAGGAGTACATTATTTTAAAGAGAAAATAGCATAGTAATACCTGAAATCTATTACGACCTCACTAGAAAAGAATACCTATTCAAACATTTATGGCCATAACAAATTGGTCAATATTAATACCGGCAGAGAGATCAAAATCGCCGGTACCGACAGTGGCAACGGCATTCCGTCGGTTCCACAATCATGTCAATGACCATGACCATGACGAAGTCAAGGCCGCGGTTACTGTGATACCTTGAAGAGCGGTAGTTTGCAACGTCCAAAATAGTCCCTTGCAGCACTCCTGGTGGCCTAGAATGCGTCGCACGATATAATCTTATCGACTTTAGACGACAAATGTATCGTTAATTGATAAAGTCGATAAGACGATATAATGGCGCTCATCCTAAGCTAGCTGGTCATATGTGCTTTATACGCCTTAGTAGAAATAGGTCACAAAATTCCTGGGTGCTTACAGCTTCAATGTGGAAAACAGATTTCATTTCAATTATTACATGCAGATTGAAGTCTTCCATGTGGTGTGCATGTTATTGAACATGGCAAAGCTGGTTTAGTGATCTTTCTGGTCTGAGGTTAATGTAAAAACTAAATTCCCTGGTAAATAGGCTTTATTGGAAGCCACAGACATGATGGCAGATGGAGTATGCTCTCGAAACTTAGGAACGAAACACGTCCGTCCTATCAGACCAATGTCAATGTACAAAGGTAATTGTTTAAATTGGCATTGACATAATCGAGCGCTTCCAGACAAAAGCCTTACGTTTGATTTACCAAACCCCATGGAATATCAGCAACAGGCTCATCTATCAGGACTTGCCATTGCCCACAGTCATAGAGGAAATAAAGAGCCTCACACTCCGCTACAAGGATAGACTTTCAAATCATCCAAACTCATCAGTACAACAACTCATGACCATTGAAGGCTTCCTATTCAGCAGACTGCAAAGAGCTAGAGTTAGGGGTCTCCTTAGTAGATTCCAGGACAGTTGAGAAACCATGACCACTGAGGGCAACTGAGTCACTGGACTCCACCCTGCTCATGACAAAGAACAAACAGCAAACGGACACAGGAGTGGATTACTGTAAATCCCTACAGATTGCTGCTGGGACCACGGATATAAGAGAAAAAAAAAAGAAATAAATGCTTTTTACTTTTACTTTACAAATTCGATTGAATTGATACTTATCAATATTTTCTTGTTTCTGGCTTAAATCACAACAAAAACCAGTAAGAATTGTAGAATCACTTTCTTTAACTGCTTGCTACATTGTTAATTAGTCAGCGAGGCAGAACAATGTTTTATATGAATTTATTGACACCAATATGTCACCATTTGCCCAACATCATAAAAAAACAAAAAGTTGGCACTATGAAAGAACTGAAATAAATAACTTTTAAGCAAATAAATTGGATAAAATTTTAAAAAATATATATTTTTAATGAAAATCTTTTTTTTATTGTATTTCATTCATGTAGTTGTCGACTTGTTGCGGTGCTAAGTGCAAGGAATAAAATAAAATATAAAATAGGTTACCTAGTAGTAGTAATTATAAAATACTCACTCAAATAAATATCCTCCATATCAACGCACTTGCTTGAACTACTTCTAAGTGGCAGTAAACCTTAGTTTTGAAATGTAATAATTAAAAATAATGATCAATTAACTCAAAAACAGGCGCGCTAGAAAAACTAATCAACGTCAGGCTGACCTACAATGGAGTAGATGACCTCATCAACTCTAGAAACACCAGATTTTTTGCACTTTTCGGCTACACCCGCGCAGTGTATGTATAGCAATTGCAAAAAATACAGTTCAACGTCAGTCCACTATGTATGTGGGAGTCAGAATACATAATAATAAGCACGCAATCAAAGTAATGTAGTGTGAATCAGAGTTAAACGGGAACATAAACAAAAAAACACTTACCGATAACGGAAACAAGTTATAAATTCACTTCCCAATTTACGAGGAGTAAATGCACTTCACAAATGTGTTAAAACATAGCCGCTGCTTGGGGTTGATTTACTAACGACGCCAAAACATGAATAATTCCGATAAAAATCCAAAACTGATTGGTTTTATCAACTTCGCTCACTGGTTGGGCAGCGGATTTGACATAACGACAATGAACGGAAACAAACGGAAACGTCAAATTTTTGACAATGACATTTATTGAATGGTCCGAATTGTTGTGTGAAGTATTATTTACTTTATTTTCTTTTTAATAATTACGTTTAAAAATACTCAGTTAACTAGTCCAATGATGTAAGTAATACAAGTGATGTTAAAATCACATATTATTATCTATTTTTAATGCAGATTAAATTTATACTTATAAAATTAAACGATTTTTTCACAAAAACATCAACTATCTCTTTCGGACAATGATCAATGAGTCAGTTACCCATTAGCAATAATAAACTCTTAGACTAAAGAAATTTTAAGTCCATGAAAATAGAAAAACGACTAAAATATTTGAATATATTAGCTAGCTAAGGAATAGTTGGTAACTTTCTGAATTATAGGAAAATTATTTACTCGTCAGGTCTACGATTTGGTATATTTTTCCATAACAGGATACAGGATTTATGGGAATAAAACTATAACTAAACTTTCTTATTTAATTTATTGTAATTTGGATGTTGTAAAGGAATGACTTCAGTGGACTGAAAATATTTGCAATTGCAAAAGTTCATTCGCTTATAAAATAATCTTACAAATTAAATCTTAAATCTAAATCCTATATTCTATCTAGTGACTCCAGCATGATTATGCTATTTCCTCGGATGACCTGAAACAGAACAGAAAACATTATTAATTACATAAAATAATAATTTGCTAATTCGTACAATATGAGATTTTATAGTTACTGTTGCTAATTATAGTTACAGTCGCTAATTAATTCTTTGTTAGAAAACTATGTTTAAATTCAAATAGTTTTGTAAATCTTCAAATATCTGTAAGATTGTTAAAAAAAATTTACCAATCATTAGATCAGAGATGGAATTGTGTAAAGCAATCGTAATCATTTGACAGTTCATAACGTACGATAAAGTCAGTTATACCTACAAAGTGTTTGACAGAATAATCGTATGTTATGAACTGTCAAATGATTACGATTGCTTTACACAATTCCACCTCTGTTCTCTCTGTGATATAAGTAAATTAATTACTAACCACCATCCCGATGTTGTTACGCTGACCGTCTTTGCACTCCTCCACCGACTCATCCAGTACTAGATTCATGAACGGATCGAAACCTCGAAGCACTCCGATGACTGCACGCCCTGCATTCAGCTTTATGGACAACTTCTTGTCCATGAACCTTTTGAAAGAAAGAAAGAAATATTAAAATGAGGAACCTACTTTTTATATTTTCCAGTAACTGGATGATGGATCACCATGATAGCACAAACAACATTGCCAAAGTGTAACACTGTAAGTATTGCATGTTACAGGATAAACCGTCCATCATAAATCCAATGAATGACGGCAGATGGAAAACTTTGAAATAAACCTTCTTTGTATTGTAGTAGGTATGCAAGCGACAAAAATGTTTTTGAAACAGTAACATTCAGTATTACAAAGTAGTAACGTACATTATAATAAGTATATTAACAAAATAATTTGCAATAAACATCTCTAAAATTGGATAGAACGTAAAAACGACGCTATGCAAGTTGAGGTTATAAAAATGTTGTGTTGTTGGACGTCCATTGGCAAAAACTTACTTTTTCAATTCTGGAGGGTGAGCCTTCGACATTTTGAAAGTTTAATTGGATTAGCAAAGTAACAAAGATGAAATTTAATGAAAAATAATCCGAAACCGAAGAAAACCGCTGCAGCTTTTTCTGTTTTTTTTTTTATGCAAGATTGACTTTTTGTTTTGTTGACAGTTAAATTTTGGAATGGAGCGTAGCTATTTCGCCATTTTAATATTATTAAGGTTGCCACGGACTATGTTAACAATTTCTACTCTCTTTGTTCATAGTGAACTTATAATAAAAGCAAATGAACTTTGATTACATTTAACTGATACAAATATATCCCACTGGCCATTACTAGCCAGGAAAAGACGTGGGATAGTGTGCTCACTCACCCATGAAGTATAGTTTCCTAGAAGGAGTCAGCGGAAAGGGAGAAAGACGAGGCCAGTGACTGTGCCTAAGCCCTGAGTGCAAGAAGAGCGCT